TAACTTAAATATTCCTCGCTCTGCTCTGCTCTCAGCAATAGACATGGCTCCAGTCTCAACAATGGAAGTAACCTCTACCTTCACCGGCCTCCCCCACCCAAAATCAGTATCGTAAACTCTAAACTTTGGTGATCCAGCAATCGATAATAGTCTTCTCCCCGCCAATTCCAAATACTTATCAATCCCCGCTTCTAATATCTCACCAAGATCCTTCCCCTTCAACCCATCTATGCTCTTCCCTATCTCCATGGCTGCCACCTCAATCCCATCCTTGCCTAACATCTGGACCGCCTTCAACTCCGCTAAAAAAGTCCCCAAGCAGTTTCCAAAGTAATTGCTTGGAATCGGCGGCCTCATCCTTGATCTCCAATCCACAGGAGATCCTAAACACAGCTTGATGTCTCCATCGTATCCCCGTGCTTTCACGAGGCATCTCCATACATAAGCACAAGTTACAACAAATGCCGAGAGGTGATAAGATGGCTTTCCTTCTTCCACTTGCTTCGTTCTCACGTGCTCTTTTAGTCGCAAAATATGATTTTTATTGAGAGTGAAAGTTGCAGATACCAAATTTGAATCGGAAAATGGAAAGCTGCCTTCTTTCTTCAAAATCTCTTTGAACTGACGCGTCGCGTCAAAAATTTTCTGTCGAATCCCATGGGTATCGATTATAACAGATCGGTCGAGGAAAGGAGGGCAGATGTCATCGAGGGTGGGTTTAGCCGAGCGGCAGGCAGCAGCCCACGACCGCAAGAATTGCATCGATCCGTATCCGTCACAAACAGCGTGGTTTATTGTGAAGCCGATGGAGAGTCCTTGATTCTGAAAAACCGTGATTTGAATTGAGAGGGGTGAATATATGAAGCCATAAGAGGAACTTGCTAGTTTCGGGACAAGAAGACGGAGATTCTTAAAGCTTCGTGGGTGGCGGCCGGAGATGTTGCCGAAGTCGTCGCCAGTGAATTCAGCGACGATGAAGGAGACAGAGTCGCCTTCCTCGTAGACGATCTCAAATCGGTTGTCGGAATCAGGAGAGGTGCGGATGGATCCTGCTAAAGGGTAGAAGTGGCGGAGGGTGAGGGAGAGGGATTTGGTTAAGATGGGGAGGTTGTGGTCAATGAAGTCGGAGGTGGGGTGAGGAAAGTTGTAGAAGAAAAGCCTCTCCACCGGCTGTGAGTTTTGGAGCCACATAGCGTCGAGGAAGGAGAGAGCTTGAGGAGGCTGAGCTGGAAGTGGTGGCGAAGGAAAAATTCGGATTTCCTGGAGTACTCTCACAGAAGCCATGAGAAGACTGGATTTGCGCTGGCTTAGTTTTATCTGACAATTGCGAGGAAAGAGTGGCACTCCTTACTATATATGTTGACTTGTTTTGCCCGTCGGCATGTGCCAGCCCCTATGATGAAGTAGGTAATTTGCTTTTGCCAATCCTTTTTTTATTATATTATATAATTAGGATTTTTTATTATTTTTTAAAAATTAATTAACGGAATACAAACATATACTTTCATATGACAATTTGAATTAAGAAAAAGGTATTTTACAAAAAAATTTAAGTTGTAGAACAAATGCATGAGCAAGTGCCTGACTTTGTCAATAACAGTTAGCCAACTCAGAATGAAGCGACATGTTTTGGAAGCTATTTTCTATTTACCACAGATATTCGAATGATACGTGCCGGCACAAGGGCCATGCGATCAGACGAGTTATCATGAATCATCAGGGCAACGGAGCATAGCATCAACCTTTACCTAATAATGCATCCCTTCTAGAAGTCAGGATTTTGGTGCATGTATTAGCTGTAGAATGATTACAGTTATCAGAGTAGCACGTACTATCAAACAAACTATAACTGATTTAATGAGTCATTCGTAATTTTACAATCTTAAATAGTTCATACTTACATATGCCTTGAATATTTTCGGATTTATGCAAATATGCAATATAAACATGAATAAGAGAGGAGAAAGAGAATTATATCAAATATCATAATGGGGCATGACATAGTAAAAATGATTATATTAGTGATTTCCATATGTTACAAATTATATCATTTCTAGGGGAAGGCATATCATTAATTGTTAGGAGCGGTTTTGAAGCCACTGCCAAAACTCTTCTTTTACACCGGTTTTGAAACCGGAAAAACAATGGGACTTTTGCGGTCATTTATATTTTTTAATATTTTAGTTTAAAAATGCATTATTTTTATTTATATATGTAGCAGTGGCAATCATTGTTGGGACAGCTTCAACAGCCGATCGATGAGATGGCGGCCATATAATTTCATTACAAATAATAAGAAAAAAATTCAAAATATCTAAAATTGGTTTGAATGTTTTTACTAATAAATTTGATTGAGTTTTTTTTTAAAAAAAAAAACATGTCTACAAAAAAGTTGGAAGTTAAATAATTTCATTCCCAAACAAATATAAATAAATAACTTAAAGATACAGATCGCCAACCACATAATTCCAAATTTTTAAGAAAATGATCAAAGGGGTATTATATGCAGAATTTGTTTTAAGAAAAAGATCCACAGCTGTAGCATATGCAGTTAGTTGACATTATATCAAAAACTAATTTGTGATCTTTACAAGTTTTGCAAGAATTACAAACAGAAGAGAGGGGAGAGATATGTAATGACGGATTGGTCTGAGTAGACCTGTCAATTTCGGGTTACGGGTCGAACTCGACCCGACCCGTAAGTGACCCGGATTTATTCGGGTTCGGGTCAACCCGACCCGGTTTTATAAACGGGTTGGTTTTCAAAACCTGAAACCGATCCGCCTCGGTTTCGGGTCAACCCGACCCGACCCGCGTAAGCCGGTCGCAGAACCGCCGGACGCCGGACGCGGAACCGCT